CACTTTTCGGGTCGACGTAGTCGTTCCCGAGGATTCGTCATCTGTTGAACAATCCGAATCAGCGTCGCTGTCAACGGATGGACAATCTGACTCCTCCTCATCTTGTCTTGAAGATCGCTTCCATATAGCCGGAGCTGATGGATTCCACCTTCGACACAATCTGATGGCGGGTGCAGCAGGGAGTGCCTTGGCCTTGGCATTCGGCTTCGCTGGAGCTGCCTTCGCTTCGGATTTAGCTTTAGCTTTTGCCTTTGGTTCCGGAGCTGGGGTAGCTGCTGCCTCATGCTTGAAAGGACAATTCTCTCTTGAGCACGAGCCTGTGTTCTTGAACGAGTAGCAAATCCTGTTTCCTCCTCCTCCAGATGGACTTGGAGTTCTTGTCCTCGGCGTGAAAGGTCGTTCTGGAGTCTTCTTCGAGTGACTGAATGGACACTTATCGCCATTTCGACACCCTGCATCTGTGAAATGGAACTTGCAGCGGATTTGCTTCTTGCTTTTGTCACCTCTGTTGTCCGCTGACTCACTCCTCGTCTTCTTCTTGGGCTTCGGCTTGGTCTTCGCATGACTCTTCGCTTTGCTTTGAGGTAGTACAGGTGTTGCTTTGTCCGGCTTGGTCGGCGAAGCCTTGACCTTTGCGGATGGAGCTGCGTTAGGCGTAGGTTTCTCGGGTACCTTGGCCGGTGCAGCAAGCAAATCCTTGCCCTCAAGCATCTGGCGCAAGCCAATTTGAGTCTGAGTGAGATTTGACTGTTCTCGTTTCCGCATGATGGTACGATCAATGATCTTCATCAGGTTGTCGTACGATCGATCTTCATGATTGTAGGGCAGGTGTTCATAGTGCATGCCCAAGTCCATTTTCATTGCGGGCGAGTCCTTGATCTTGCTGTACAAGCAATCACGGAGAGCTGTTTTGGATGGAATGTCCTCTGGTCTCATCCGTCCCAGAACTTCCAACCACGTCTGCTTGAACGTATGAAGCTTGTTGTCGCCTTGGTACTGGAGCTTCACCAAATACTCAAGAGTGATGATCATGTCAAGACGATCATGTGTTCGAAAACTTTCGTACATCATCGCGATGACTTGTCGTCCTTTGATGATCTTCACGTCAGGCCTGCTGATGTAATCGTTGGCCTTCCGGTTCACCTCGAGGTACAGGTCAGCTGATTTGTCACCACCGGCACGTAGCATTGCGACCATGGCGATCCCCAATTTGACGTCTATGCTCTTGAACTTCTTGTGTCCTGAATCATTCAATGCTTCGACATCAGGGAATGGGTTGAACGCTGGTGCCAGCCATAACATCCAGTCCTCATGATGTGGGTCGGCTGATGCCCCTAAGACATTGGCCGTGCACACGGATCGCCAGTTGTTGAGATGAGTGAGAGTAGGCCATGGAGGAACGGTCACTTTGTCGGCTTCCCTCCTGGAAATTCTCACCTCTGTGACTTCAGGATCCGCGTCTCCATCAGGATCACGCGCGTGTGAGCCAGGATCCGATTCGGGTTTGCCCCCTCCGCCTTTCTTCTTGTCGTCATCATCATCAGGCGGATCTGGAGGATCGTACCCCGTGCCGGTACCTTCATCATGCTCTTCCTCTCCGTTCTCGTCGCCAGCTTCATCACCGTCATCGTCTCCATTGTTTTCCTGAATCGTTTCAGCGAATAATCTCCACTCATCACGATCAGCTCTGAGACGTTGTTCGGCTTTCTGAGCCTTGAGTACTTCACTTCGCAAATCAGCAATCTTCTCCTCATACTGTTCCGCGATCTCTTTCTCGATCTGACGCCTCCTTGCCTCATGGATGGAATCGTCATAGGCGACAGGGGGACCAATGAGGTCGTTGCCCTTCGTAGATGCGGTGACACCGTCGATGCCAACAGGTCTTGAGGAGCTGGCCGATGCTGTGGACTTCGATCCCAACATCCCGCGATCCCCCAAGAGTTCGCGTAGCTGTCGATCACGCACGGCTGCCGCATCACTTTTCCCATGAAATCCGCTTGGTATGCCAAACAAAGTGGCTGCACTAGGCGTGGAACGCGCAAGTGCTGGGCTGCTAATACCTGGCACGTGGTGCTCGGGCATTGCATCCGCCACGATTGGCATTGAACTGCGGCCAGTGAAGAAGTTTCCACCGGTGAATGGAATTCCGTCCATCACAAGGTTCTTGTCCTTGTCCGATTCCGAGAATGCGAACTTCTCTTTGGCGACTGGACTAACTTGACTTGGGGACCGTATTTCAGGGGATCGTACCTCATCTCCTACGGAAAATGCAGGCATTACTTCCTTTCCTACGTGCTCCCAGCCAGACTCAGTAGTCCTCGAAGACATGGGCATGCTCGAAGGTCGCGTCGCTCCTCCTTGATTGGAGTTTCGTGCTGCCTCCAATTCGCTGCGTGTCCTCGCTTGAAGATCTTCTTGTGCTTTGAGCGTTTTCCTGAGTTCACTCAGCTCGTCGTGCAAGGTAGGCAATGATCGCCTTGCATGATCTTCATTCTGATGAAGTCGTTCCTCTGCTTCTTGCATCCTCTTCACAGCCATTTTGCGGTACTCTTCCTCTTCACCAAGACGTTCGCGAAGCCGAAATCGTTCTTGTTCAATGGCTGCGCTGTTTCCAGCTAGCCCTTGGATCTCGTTCACAGCCCGCAACTCCTGGTTCTTGACCAAGTGGAATCGTTCCTGCATTGCTTGTAAGGCTTGTTCCGAACTTGCTGTGTTTGACCGGAGGACCAAGTTCTCTCTGGCGTGTTCATGAAGTTCATGAGTCAGACGCTCATACTCACGTGCCATAAGCTCACCATCACCTTGCGCTCTTGCCTCCAACTGCACAAAGTTGGTGGCTGCCTCCGTGCGGAACACGTGTAGCTGTTGAGCTAAATCCTCGGCAACGGCATGTGCTTGACGTTGTTGAGCAGAGTTCTGCTCATCCATGCGAAACAAAGCTGTTTCATAGTCTCGCTTCATCTCCTGATTGACATTGTTGATGTGCCTCATGGCTAAGCATGCATGATCACGTTGTCGTTCCAATTCCTCAATGCGAATTCCAGATCCTTCATCTTCTTGTTGCATCTCCTTGATCTTGTCCATCAGGGTCTGGACGATTCCTTCGTATTCTTGTACCTGACTGCGATAGTACATCTGCTGTGCAAGGTTCGATGCTTCGAACTGTTGCGAAATCGTCAGTTCCTGGTAGGCATTCGGACCGTCAGCTATTGCAGGCGTGGCCACGGATGACGCATCACCACGTGCAGGAATCGTATCCAGAGTCATGTCCAGATCGTCAGTATCGCGTGGTTGATTGGTAACCATCCGATTCCAAGTCATGGACTTGTCACGCCCACGAGTAGCCGAAGTCCTCGATCGTGCTGAAGAGCTTCTCGAAGATGATGGTCTTGACTTCTTTTCCAAGGTCTTGACTCCTTTGTCCTTGGCCCTGGACGTAGTCCGAGGTGCCTGAAAACCAGACGCTTCGGCCCGTCGTTCTGAAGCCTTGCCCGTCCTCGAACCTGTGGATGTCGGACGTGAAGGCGTAGATGCTCTTGGTAGACTCTTTGCTTTCCCCTTGGGAACTGCCTTTGCAATGGCAAGCGCAGAAGATTGACCTTTGTCATCTTCCGTGGAGCTATCAACGGATTGCACCACTGTGTCATCAGCTGTTGACTCACCAACGGCTGGCGCTGCCACATCGGCACCGAAAGTCATTGTCGTATCTTGACTTGATCCTGAGTTCATTGTGGTCGTAGTAGATCAAGTAGTCGTTGCTGTAGAAAGGCAGAGCCGCGTACGGCTGATAACCTGCGTGGGGGATTGATCTCGACTTGGTTGCTGCTCTCCCCACCAGAGCTGTAATGAATGTAGGTGTGGCTGGCTAGCACTCTCCACAGACTGGACCCTGTCTCTCCCTCTTACTTCCACACGTGCGATCCTATGCAGGCAGAACCGGCGGCCGTTCCTTTTGCACTCACTGCCGGCGGCGGTTCGTCTGTGCAACGGGATAGCTCTGATTGCTCAGGATAGAAGACACATATAGCACTTAGCTATGGGCATTGACTTGAGCCAAACGTTGCGTTGGCGGTCACATAGAAAGGTAAAGATGAGGGATGCGTAGCATGCCCCCTAGAGTCGAGGGACGCGTAGCGTGCCCCCTTCTCTTGCACTTTACACGGTCTTGTTCACAGCTCTTATAGTGACACCTTAGAACTTGACAAGGCATCGCAGTCCGTTCGCAACAAAAGCAGTTCATAGTAGTTCTCGATTGAAGATGGTAATGATCCCCTACCCCACCATCATCCCACCACCACCAACACCACCACCAGCACCACCACCTCCACCACCATCCCAACTCCCCTTCTCACACCCTCCGCCCGAACTGACCACTACTACTACTACTACTACTACTACTACTACTACTACTACTACTACGACTTCTGCTACTACTACTACTACTACTACTACTACTGCTACTACTACTACTACTACTGCTGCTACTACTGCTACTACTACTACTACTACTACTACCACTACCACTACCACTACCACTACTGCTACTGCTACTGCTACTGCTACTGCTACTGCTACTGCTACTGCTACTGCTACTGCTGCCCACTGCTACTGCTACTGCTGCCATGGCTACTGCCACCTCTGCTACTTCTCCCACTGCTACCACCACAGCGATAGCACTGCTTAAGAAATCATCGGTTTGAGATAGTGAACCCCTCGGGCAGAAAAAACTAATCAACAACAATGAGCAGATTGAAAATAGGAAATCCAGATACCTTGACCTCGCATGTTAACATCCTGTTTTGCTGCTCTCGATTTGTGCTCGCGTGTTTTCTCCACTTAATGCTTGAGTGGTCAAGCGGATAAGTACCCTCAAGTCCAAAAACTATGTTTTGACAAAAGTTGGGCTTCAAAGCCTCACCGAAAAGCGACTGTGCTGCAGGTGCGCGCGGAGATCCCGTCCAGAAAACGACAAACTGAAGAACAGGACCCAAGACAGTCTCCTTCGGTCGTACCAGGGAGATCGAAGTGAAGAAACCTGACGGTCCATCACTGTCCAAGATGCAGGGCAATGTATAGGCATTGGCATCGGTCTGTCATGCGGGGAGTACACAAAGCAGAATGCTCAATTGGGACATAAACGTAACGAGTGGCTTCATTCCGTTTCCAGCCATCTCAGAACACCTGAACCATAAGCCAGGTCTCGACAGCCAAAGTTTGCACATCAGCGGGATGCTCTCAATGAACGTATGGAAGGATCATGAAATGGGCGTGCAGAGGGTCCAGAATCGAGGGGATGACCCCGCACTCACCTGTCGGATCCTCGCGGCTGGGAGCTTGATGATGAGAGGAAGTAACAGGAAACCGAGCCGAGTAACGGCGTGTCGTCCCAGGCGCCTTTTGTGCAGGTCGCCGCATCACGGTGCTCCTCGATGCAAAAGGCCGGGGTCCATAAGGTCTCTAGGCATTTGTTCGGGGTGAAGTCTAGGCCTACTACGGGACTGTATACCGCTAAGGCTTCAGCTTCTCTGTTGACCAGTGCGCCGCTGTGGCCTGTGCGCATTCCCCCAAACGTCTTCGCGGTTCGGGGTAGGCATTTCGGCCGAAACATCTTAAGGTTCAGAGTTTAGCTCGTATTCATATGCTGTACCTGCACCAGCAGATTATCATTTAGATCTCCCGTAGCTACATGTGCACATGCTAGCATGCTTGCCTTGCACGTGCCTGTAAATGTTTGCGTGCATAGCCAATAGTGGCTCGTATATGCATGACACTGTCCACATGGTCCTGGCTCACAATGTTGCCACAGAGAGATCCGAAATGACTTGGGCTGCTTCTCGTAGGTTGGGGCCGGTCAGGAGGTTGCAGCGGGCCTTCATATTTTCAAAGCAAGCTAGATGTGAAGGCTACATGCGAAGATTAGACAGATTCGGTGACGAACTGTTTTTCGCTATGCTGTCGACTTGCATGCCTGCGTAGCCGTCTCTGCATTTCTTTGGGAGCTTTGTCGAGACTGAGCACAGTTGCACGCTGCTCACAGCCAAAACAGCTCCCGCGTACCGATGTAGTAGCACTTTTAATGCTTTGTTAACAAACAAACACTGTGGTGGTGCTGCTGGGGTCTATGTTGCACCCAAGACAGCTGCACCAAATATGGTTGGAGGCTTCGTCTCAGATCCTGCGTCCAACCACCCAGCCTAAACCCCGAAGACCTGAGAAAAAGGCCATCACAAAGGCCGACGGCATGTCAAGTCGAGCCACGAAAACGTTCTCCTGTGCCGGCACCTGACAAGAAGGCCAGGCTCAACGGCACAGGCTCCATGGTACACGAGTTTAGGATTGAGGGCTAGTGGGGTTCAGAGTTCGGTTCAACATTCCATGGCTGGGAATCTGCAAGCAAGCACCAACCTTCGCCTTCTCGTAACAGGTAGGAGGCAGTAGGCAGGCGATAGTGGGTAGTGGCTGGTGGTAGTAAGTCGTAGCTAATAGGTAGCAGATAAGTAGCCAGTCGGTAGCAGGTAGTAGTAGTAGGAGTAGTAGTAGTAGTAGTAGCGGTAGTGGTGGTGGTAGCGGTAGTGGTAGCGGTAGTGGTCGTGGTCGCGGTCGTGGTAGCAAAAGTAGAAGCAGAAGTAGTGGTAGTCGTAGTGGTAATGGTGGTGGCAGTAGTAGTAGTAGCAGTAGTAGTAGTAGTCGTAGTAGTAATAGTGGTAGTAGTGGTAGTGGTAGTGGTAGTGGTAGTGGTAGTGGTAGTGGTAGTGGTAGTGGTAGTGGTAGTGGTAGTGGTAGTGGTAGTGGTGGTGGTGGTGGTGGTGGTAGTGGTAGTGGTAGTGGTAGTAGAAGTAGTTGTGGTAGTGGTCATGGTGGTGGTAGTAGTAGTAAGTAGTAGTAGTAGTAGTAGTAGTAGTAGTAGTAGTAGTAGTAGTAGTAGTAGTAGTAGTAGTAGTAGTAGTAGTAGTAGTAGTAGTAGTAGTAGTAGTAGTAGTAGTAGTAGTAGTAGTAGTAGTAGTAGTAGTAGTAGTAGTAGTAGTAGTAGTAGTAGTAGTAGTAGTAGTAGTAGTAGTAGTAGTAGTAGTAGTAGTAGTAGTAGTAGTAGTAGTAGTAGTAGTAGTCGTAGTAGTAGTAGTAGTAGTAGTAGTAGTAGTAGTAGTAGTAGTAGTAGTAGTAGTAGTAGTAGTAGTAGTAGTAGTAGTAGTAGTAGTAGTAGTAGTAGTAACACTCGGTTCCGCGATGACTCTTATGTGCCTGTGATCTTTAACCCTACTTTGATTTTGATGTGATTGGCGACCGCTAATGTGCCATTATCACTTGCAGAATAACTGGAAGTGTTGAAAGTAAGATCGCTGAGCCTCGGCTCGGGTCGTTCAGCATGCTTGGGCCTTCGGACCGATGCTGATGCTTTTAATTTTATTCTTTGTGGGTTGTCATAGACAATGCTGCCTCGGTAGCCAGGCGAAGCCTGCCGACTCGCTAGGCGAACCCCGGACGATCGCCGCGAATGGAAGGAAGGAGTAGTAGTAGTAGTAGTAGTAGTAGTAGTAGTAGTAGTAGTAGTAGTAGTAGTAGTAGTAGTAGTAGTAGTAGTAGTAGTAGTAGTAGTAGTAGTAGTAGTAGTAGTAGTAGTAGTAGTAGTGGTAGTAGTAGTGGTAGTAGTAGTAGTAGTAGTAGTAGTAGTAGTAGTAGTAGCGTAGTAGTAGTAGTAGTAGTAGTAGTAGTAGTAGTAGTAGTAGTAGTAGTAGTAGTAGTAGTAGTAGTAGTAGTAGTGTAGTAGTAGTGTAGTAGTAGTAGTAGTAGTGGTAGTAGTAGTAGTAGTAGTAGTGGTAGTGTAGTAGTGGTAGTGGTAGTGGTAGTGGTAGTGGTAGTGGTAGTGGTAGTGGTAGTGGTAGTGTAGTGGTAGTGGTAGTAGAAGTAGTTGTGGTAGTGGTCATGGTGGTGGTAGTAGTAGTAAAAGGTAGTAAGCAGTAGGGAGTCGGCAGTCGTTGCAGTCGTAGTAGGAGTAGTAGGAGGAGTAGGAGTAGGGGTAGGAGGAGGAGCAGTAGTCGCACCAGGGAGCTTTCGGATGCAGCTGACTAGGAAAGTGCTTCATGGTTAGAGCGAGCTTTGGAACATATCGCCTTGTCCACGTGCGTCTTTGATCAGCGCAACCAGTAGTCATAAGACCATGGGCGACAAGAATCCAAGCCCTGAATGCGCCTCCATGACCTGTTTGCAGCCGACCATCTCACCACTCGCCAGTGTGACTCCATCAGCAGCCAGTTCCCTGCGAAATGCCGGACTGAACAGTTTCGCTGCGGGCGGGTTGGGCGGGGTACTGGCTTCTGTACTGTATCCGGGGGTGCAACACCACATGATCGTCGAGGCCTATGTAGACTTTGAAGGTTGCTTCCAATTGTCTGGGTGCTGCGGCGCTGTCAGGCTTTTTGATGTTTCTTGCTTTCTGAATTGAAGAGGCTTTAGGTCATTTCGGTCTTTCTTCGTAGTTTCTGGATCTGTTGTCCGGAACTTCTGATACAATTTCTTAACACTGGCAGCTTCATCTAAGATAAAGAGCATGCCACCGAAACCAATCGCCCAACTTGGTCTTGGTGGGGAGTGCCTCATGACGAACTCCCGCCGATCGGCGGTGATGTCCTCAGACACCTCCAAGATGAAAAGCTTCTCCTGGGTTGGAACTTTGAAGTTGTGCATAAAGGATTTGCGGTCCGGAGCTGTTTTAGGTGATTACGATTACGGGCTTGGGGTCTATGCAGATTTCATGGCTTCTGTGATGGTTTGACCTGCAGAGGTCTCAACAATTGAACCAGGAGCTTCGTACGAAGATGCCCGCTGAAAATGGATGCCCGGCGCGACAACTCGCAGAATCCATGCTCAGTCGTGTACACATAGAAAGGCGCCAACACTGGCGCTAAACCCGATGCCTCCGCTATTGGAACCATGCGACTCTCACAGTATTTGAGCGCCGCTCAAGAAGCCCATTTTCAAGATACCCGCTATATTGAGTTCATCTGCAACCACCTGTAATGCCTATGTTTCACTGCACAACCCGGAGTTCGCCACCTGCAACAAAGAAGACCCGTCTCTTTGCAGTAAGTGCTGACAATTGAGGCACCACATCGCCCAAAAACACGAGTTCTGAGCTCTCGCGCATCCGACATGCATATGTTCGTTGGGTGTCATAGTGGTAGCATTTATCCCTCGCACTGGTTGGGATCTTTGCAGTAAGGGCGAGATCCACTGGTCAACCGGACGAGGCAGCTTTGTTTATCCTGTGCTGATGGTCTTTGGCAAGCGTCTTCGGGGCTTCAAACAGCCATCCTTATCACGAATACTAACTACTGAATGCTCCTTCACGCCCTGGTTCAGACAAGCTGCGTAAACCGCATTGTTGTTGGGCTTCTCACGGAAACAATACCTGAACAGCTCTGTGCTTTTTGGGAACTGCAGGAACTAGGCTTAACCCCACAGTGCAATTCCAAGTCAAGGGCACTGTGATGCGAATGCGCAGATGTCAATACACAGTTAAAAAGTTCTCATCTGTATATACATGACAGGATATGATATGCTATTATGTCTGTATAGGGTATATCTTACTATGTTCTTCAACATGGACGGTCGTATGTATAGTTAGGAAATTTAAGTTGTCTTCTCACGCGACATGCATCAAGCAAGTTTGTGAGCCCGACCCCCAATTACAGCCTGGATGGCGCGCTGGACCAAAAGCCCAGAAGGCATACTAGAGTGGATGTTGGACCCCGGGCCCAAAGATTCCAAGCGGGATAACCAATAGCAAACCTCAACATTACAAGGGGTGACTAGGCCTATACATCCTGCATGCTACATAAATATGTTCATGCGCATGGGGAGTTAGTGGTAGGTAGTAATAGGTAGAAGTGGATAGTAGTGAAAATAGTAGTAGTAGTAGTAGTAGTAGTAGCATTCGTAGTAGTGATAGCAGTAGCAGTAGCAGTAGCAGTAGTAGTAGTAATAGTAGTAGTAGCAGAAGTAGTAGTAGTAGTAGCAGTAGTAGTAGTAGTAGTAGTAGTAGTAGTAGCAGTAGGGTTTAGGGTTTAGGATTTGGGGTTTAGGGTGAAGGGAGTAGTAGTAGTAGCAGTAGTAGTAGTAGTAGTAGCAGTAGTAGTAGAAGTAGTAGCAGTAGTAGTAGTAGTAGTAGTAGTAGTAGTAGTAGTACTAGTAGTAGTAGTAGTAGTAGTAGTAGTAGTAGTAGTAGTAGTAGTAGTAGTAGTAGTAGTAGTGGTAACAACAGTAGTAGTAACAATAGTAGTAGTAACAATAGTAGTAGTAGTAGTAGTAGTAGTAGTAGTAGTAGTAGTAGCAGCAGCAGCAGCAGTACTAAAATTGGAAACAGAAGTAGTGGTAGCAGTAGTCGTAGTCGTAGTCGTAGTAGTAGTAGTAGTAGTAGTAGTAGTAGTAGTAGTAGTAGTAAGGAGTGGTCGTTGTGGTAGTGGTAGTAGTGGTAGTAGTAGCAGTAGTAGTAGTAGTAGTAGTGCGTGGGGATTTGATCCTGGTAATGCTCTGTATCGCTCACCCCACAAAGAGCTGTATTGACTGTTGGCGTGGTTGCCTTCTACAAGCTGGATCACCGTTACTTCCACTTCCACACACGCACTCCTATGCAGGCAGATCCAACGTTCGCTCCTTTTGCACACTCACGGCCGGCGGTGGATCGTCTGTGCACGGGATAGCTCTGTCTACTCGGAGGATCACAAAGATTATAGCGCTTTAGCTATGGGCAATGCTTTCTAGAGCTTGTGCTCATTCTTGAGCCAAACGTTGCATGGGCGGTCATACTGAAAGGATGGATAGGCATTGCGGTGTGCGTAGCACTACCACAAGCCTACTCCTAGAGACGAGGGACGCGTAGCGTGCCCCCTTCCCTTGCACTTTACATGGTCTTGCTCACAGCTCTTATAGTGACACCTTGGAACTTGACAAGGCATCGCAGTCCGTTCGCACCCCCCATGAGTTGCGTCTCCGACGCTGCTCACCCGGAAGATGGCACGATAGGAATGTCAGAAAATTTGTTCCGCCGCAACGTTGACATATAGATCAGAGCTTTTGCATCCCAATTAGAAACGTTGTGACACTCATCTACGTCGGTAACGATCCCCTGAAATGGCAAACGAATCAGGCGTCACCGAAGAAAGAAGCATTCGCGATGGAATTCCACGTGCGAAGCACAGAGGTCACAATCTTGAAGATGAGGTAGATCATGTGTTGTCTCACCGCCATCTTCGCGTTGACGTAGTATCGCGGTCCCAGGGCCGGAGGTTCTCCTCTGGATACTGGTTCCTCTGCTTTCCTTTGTCCTTGCCTTTGTTTCGGCCTTTGCCGGCGATGTAGTCGTGGTAGGAATTGGCGTTCCAGCCACCATGTTGCTCATCTCCGGTTCTCTCACGCCCTTTTGAAGGTCCCTTTGCCGAAGAAGCGCTTGCACGTTCCTCCGTGGTGACGGGCGTGTCCATGATGGAAGTACCACCCGGAGGGAGATACTCTTCGGCCGAAATGTGATGTAATGCTTCAGGACGTCGAGTATTCGGATTTTGCTGTCTTTCAACTCTAGACTTGACCAATCTGTCCATGAAGTGCGCTGGCATTTGCACGTTGTGGTCCACCAGCAATCCAACGGTCTGGACGGAATAATCTGCATGAGTCAAGAGGATGCCGATCGGGTCGATGTACAGAAAGTCCACTGGTCCAGTTGGCGTGTTTCGTAGTACCGAAAACTGTTGATGTCCTGTCACCATCGGGATAACTTCACATAAGACGTTGAGGCAACAAAAGTGCATTGCCTTCACGTCTTCATCCTTGTTACTCTTCAAGTACGTGGTTGGATTGAAGTTATCTCTGCCGATTCCCATCATGTTGGCTCCCCGTGTCAATAGCGAAAGCATCTGGTTCGTCCGGAAGCGCTTCAAAGTGTAAGTCCCGTTGGGATCATACGACTTGAGGTTTTCAGGCTCCTTCGCGAAGCGAATGATCTCCTCGTCAGTCACGTCCCTGCTCACACCTGTTTCTTTGTCCACTCCAGCCAAAGTTCCCCACTTTCCGAGCACATCATAGCGTTGGCCAAGTGCGAAATTCTCTCTCATCTGAAACAATGGCATAGTCGCCCACTTCGCGAATCCTGACCAAGCTTTGTAGATGGTTCTGCATACGACGAACGCCATATACGAAAGAGCGGCCATGTTGGCGTCGATGCAATGGGCGTTCCGTTTGCCGTGGTGGTAGGGCGGCTGCATGGCAGTGCGGGCGATTTGCAGCTCAGGGTCGATGTTCAGAGACTGACCGGCGATGAGGACGGGACGTCGTTCCTGTGCCACTGCATCTGGTACTTGGTCGTCAAAGTCCTCTCCCGGTTCCGTGTCCATTTCTTCATCAGGTTCCTGTTCTGGATCGTCATCACCAGCAACGGACGGTTCTGGAATTGCTTCGGGTTCCGCAACCGATTCCGCTTCCATGGCTTCCTGTTCTTCGACGGTTGCCTCAGGTACTGCTGCTGCCGCAGCTTCCATCGTCTGAGCAATGAAATCACTTGGGATCTCCGTTGGAGTATCCCGTTGTGGAGTACCTTGGTAGTATCCGCAAGAAACGAATTGTGACCAGCAGGATGTGCATCGAGAAAAGCATGCTGGAACGATGTTGTAGCACGCTGGGCATACCCTCATTCTCCTGCCATCCTCATCTCTTCGTAGATCTTCGGGTCGCCAGTTCTTGATGACAAACTTGATGCCCTTGTCCATGTAGTGATGTCGAACTGTGTTCTCCCTGTGGGCCTCCAAAACAGTGATAAGGTCTCGCATTATCTGATCCTTGCTTGTGTCATGGGGTCCAGGAGGCATCTCGCAAAGCAATTCCATGATCTTGCTCGGTGTTCGATATCTCTCGAATTCAGGAAGCAATGGAGATCCATTGTAGTCCAACACCATCTCTTTCTCCAATCGTTCATCATAGATCTTTTCCACCAGAGCGAACGAATGTGTATCCTGAGGATTCGGGACGCAAAACCATACCTCCTTCACGAACTGGAACGGTATCGTTCGACCAAGGATGATGACACCGCTGTCAGTGATACGTCCACCTTCTCGGGCAAGATCTGTCGAAGCGACATGGAGGACCACAAGGGGCATGTGCTTGGCTTGCGGCCCGTGTACCCGAGTTTTGGTCGTTGCGTTCCGGTCATCGAACGGCGCAAATACCCCCCAGTAACTGTGGAGTCTGCCACCTCGGTTGTCCTGAAATCGACGCCGCTGTTCGAAGTCCCCGTCAGGATCCTCCGAACCAGGCATGACGCCCTGCAGAACGATGGAATCCAAGTTGCGGCATGCCGTAGCGTGGAACGCGCCCCCGAGACGTGTCAAGAGGGTCATAGATGGAGATATTGCGAACCGGTCCTTGTCCAACTGAAGCAAATTGTTCTGGGGATCGGAGTGCGTAGAGTGACCACTTGTGGCCCTGACAGCCCATGGTTTCACCCAGCCATTGCAAACGTTCAGGTACCTCTGATTGTGTCGGGTACGGTCGTTGTTCTGGATCTCTGTAATCTGATCGGGAACCGACACCAACATGTTCGAGTTCGCAGATCCAAGAGTCTCTGTGCCGGGATTCTTCACTCTCACACCCAAGAATTGTAGCCGGATCTTGGCCTTGTGGCGTTTCGTGGCTGCAAGCATATTCCCCTGGAACAGTAACTGCAGTCTCTCATTGTACACTCTCTTCCTTTGGAACTCGTCGGTCCTTGATACCGCTTCGGTAATGCGTCTACTTTCGTGGGTCCATAGTTGCTCATGCCTCACCAAGTCCTCTATCAGCACCCACCCTCCTTCATCACATCGAATAACGCTGCTGAATGCCACTTGGCACCGATTGTCAAGCCATTCGGAACCCGGGCGCCTGGCAATTCTGTGGCGCAAGTCAGACTGAATGCAGGATAGCGCCCATTCTGCGTTCCTTCTTCGATGATGGTTGATGTTGCGAAGGACAACTTCATTCACGATGTCCCATCGATTGTTGATGAAGCTTGCACCCTTGGTTGGGATCAGATCAAGAATTCCGCATCGGATAGGCCTTCCGCCGCCGATGGATTCGTAGCCTGAATTTGCCCATTGTTGAGTATTCTCATCATACTCGAAGCTTGGACGATCTCCTCGTTGAGGCAGTCGTCGGTCACGATGGTCCGAAAGCTGCTCAATGAGATCCACCACCCGCTGACTGTTCTCGGGTCCCATTTCCCGCAGCGGTACGCCACAAGCGTCATGTAAGCCTCGACGGTTCTCCACTTCCGTGCATAGGTTGTCCTTGTTCTCGTAACGGATCAAGACCACATCACCCCGAACGGCTTCGCCTCCGCGTCGCGGTCGGGCTTTGGCCTTGGGTCGTCGGTCCGAGGAAGCA